TAATAGGCCAGTTGTTAAATTAGTCAAACGTAAAAACTTAAAGAAGCTGTGAGATCTTGGGGAAAAAGTGCTCCACTCCCACACTCGAAAGGGCCAAAACCACGAGTAATTGTAAAAAGAAGTAATTTCCCTTTTTTTAATCATTAAACCTGATTTGAATCTTGAAAAAACCTTGACGGGGTGAGCTTTGTGTAGGAAAAAGCAGCGTCCTGCTTAGAAAGGCTGAAGGACAAGTATTCTAATTTGATGAAGGATTTTGTCAGGGAAAGGATTGGAGAGGGGAGGAGAGTTCGCGTCTCCATTGTCTGTCATCTGGACTCAGAAGTGGATAATGCTAATATCATTTCTGTGGGCTTTTTCTTCTCCGAATTCTATGTCTGCGAGCTAAAGAATTGAAAGCTATATTTTGAGAGAGAGAGAGAGAGAGGACATTTTTACACGTAGAGACGAGAAAGTATTCGGTGGAGATGATCCATGACATTAAATATATATCTAAAGGATGACAACCATTGGATTTGAGCACAAATCTCGAAATCTAATGATTCAATGATTATCACCATTTAATGTCATTCACCCGGGTGTACTTGATACTCCTTCCAAAACTATAGTCTTGCACTTGTTCCGTTCGGAAAGAGGTAGTAGGTTACTTCCCTTTGGCTTATCCCCCAAATCTAATGGGACGGTTTATGATCCTAGGGGAACGATTTGTAAACTGTCATCATTGGTACCATAAGGGAACGGTTGTGCTAGGGGGTCGGTTCTTAGTTTTATGCAAGTGGGATGGTTATATAGCAAGGGGAACGGTTTTTAGGTTCTAAGCAAGGGGAACGGTTTGATAGCAAGGGGAACGGTTTTTAGGTTCTAAGCAAGGGGAACGGTTTGATAGCAAGGGAAACATCTTTTACTTTTGAGCCATTTGGACAGTTATCTAGCAAAGGTGACAGTTTTAGATTTTGGGAATGGGTATACATAGAAAAGGAGATGGTTTGCAATTTTGACCGTGCAAAAGCAAATCATCCAGATATATCACACATTTTTTTGACCTGCTTTCAAAATTAAAAAAGAACAAAACAAAATAAAACCTTCATGATTTATACCTGCTCATGTCACAAACAAGGAAATGAAACTCCAAATTTTGCAAGCAAATTAACAACCAAACATAAGGAACAATTCATTGGTTCATTACAATGACTTTAGTACAAGTTTTTTCTTTTGTCCAAAGTACATGACAAAAATTCCTCTTTCATTAAAACAAAAAGTATCTCTATATAGCTTAACAGCAGAAGCATGGACTAGAATCTGGTGATGAGCAACAATATTAAGGCTCTCAACCGGAGTCACCAGCACTGCAATTTCCAGCCTCCCACGGAGAGCAACGACCAAGTGCAAATATCCCTGCAGCATAACCTTGATGACAATTTGTCCATGGCTCGTTCAATGTGATCCAATTCTTCACTCGGTCTCCAAATGACTTTAAGCAAAGATCAACATAATCTCTAAAGTCATCGCTATAACAGAACAAAGAAAATAATGCAATGAGCAATTTATGCCTTACAAACCAAGATAGCTGGCTAAAGGAAAATAGCTTATACACAAATTGACTCACACAACGAGAGGGCTAAGAAAGCCACCATACTGGTCTTCTAGGCTTTGAGGAAAATCCCAGTGGAAGATTGTCATGTAAGGCTCTATGCATGGATATGTGGATAGGAAATTTTTTAGCATCAGATTGATGGATAATCAGGGATTTGATGACAGAGAAGGGACTGTCACCTTTGGACACAAGCTCGTTAATGACATTGTTGTAATATTGGATGCTAAAAAATTGTGATCATAAATACTTGATATAAATAAGAGGGAAAGAACAAATATAAATTTTACCAATAAGAATACTTATGTCTTAATCTCCAATTGCTACGAAATGGTTAAAAATTGATAGAAGTTTATGTTTATAAACCTGCCAAGAAAACCTCTTTCCACTGGTGTCCACTACAAAATCTGTCATCACAAGGAAAGTTTGATGCATGACATGAATTTTCAAAAGCATGAGATTGTAAGCAAGTGTCCTACCTTGTGGGTAGAACTTAATGATCGGTGAATCCTTACTGGTCATAAGATTCCGATAAGCTTCTGGCAGTGCATTAGAACTGTATGTCAAAACAAATCCATAAATGATCCTAAAAGAAACATTGCATATAGTCATGAAAGTACTTAAAGTGAATTTACCTCTTTGATGGAAGCACAGACATGAGTTGATCAAATGGATTAAAAGGTTTCCCAATTCTAAATTCATGTTTGAGGGAACCGAGACCCCTTAAGTCTGATGCAAAAGGACCATAATGAAAAGGGTAATACCTATTGGACAAGTAAAATGAAGTTTATACATATTGTTGACCTTATGTATTAGGAAGTTAAATGAAACGAAATTTCTTAACTGTTGCTTACCACGGCCAAAGCTTCATTGTTCAACCATACAGTTGCAACTCGATCATCCTGTCAGAGTGGTCGATGCTCCTTAAGCCAGTGCCCATGACTCATTCATCAATGGTGGGTCTAATGCAACATAATATCTGAAGTAAACAGTTAGAAATATAAGATATAATTTCATTTATACAAAGGAGAGAAACAAGGATTCAGGACATACCTTCGACCTTGAGGCAGGATTTGCGCGATTCTTACGCTTGCTTGGATGAATAGTTGGATCTATTGGAACTCTCGGAAGCTTACTAGCAGCATTTTGCTTCTCTTGTTTAACTTTGTTAAAGATAACAGTGAACCCATCTCCTGATTTAGGACCCTTTTCATCCCAAACACCGAATTTTGGCACTGAAGGTGTTTTGTGCATCTGTTCCAAAAAAGTTCAAATGAAGAACTCGTCTAAAATTTCACGCTAAAAACTAATGAATCAAATCTTAATGACAGGAAAATATCATTGCATTAACCTATTTATGATCCAAATTTCATAGGAAATTGCCTCTTTTCGATCATCGTGCATATCGATTACATCTTTCCATCAGCTATACCATTGACTAACATAAATGAAATAGAAACAGAGGTATGATCATAAGGTATTTATTCCCAGGAGGTAACAAAAATAAAAAATTGTGATCATAAATACTTGACATAAATAAGAGGGAAAGAACAAATATAAATTTTACCAATAAGGATACTTATGTCTTAATCTCCAATTGCTACGAAATGGTTAAAAATTGATAGAAGTTTATGTTTATAAACCTGCCAAGAAAACCTCTTTCCACTGGTGTCTACTACAAAATCTATCATCACAAGGACAGTTTATGGTTCATCCTTCCTTCTCGTGGTCTCCCATCAACATGGCCAGTGTATCCTGCTGCTGAGACACCAACCAATAATCAATACAGAAATCAGAAAAATGAAATGAAATTTTTTCAAATATTTACAAACTTTAAACTCGAGGTCCGTACTAACAAAAAGTTAAATGCAATGAAGTTAAATGGAGGCAACAAGTTAAATTTGATGTTTTTGAAAACCATTATCGGTCTACTTACACTGGAGGGAAAAGAACGTTAAAAAGAACAAGATATATAGTGACTGAAACCATATATTTAATTTGCACCAATATTAATTCAAGCTTGGGACTCATGAATAGAAAACACCTAATCTGATGCTATAGAGGCTGTCAACAACTTTTCCATACGACTTTCAAGTGGTCTATCAATTGTTCATTTCACTGTAGATGTATTACGTACAAAATACTATGGGGATAAGTTATGGTCATAAGCATACCTCATGAATCTGGGGAAACATACAAAGGAGCAGGCAAGAAAGGGAAAGGAGCAACCAAAGCAAATGCAACAGGTGGGCGAACTTGACTTTGATCACCATTTTTCAGTTCTCTGCGCCAACTGCTACTTTTATGAGTTTTATCACTAATGAATTCTTGGGTCTCAGAGACCAATAGTTCTTCATCAGCTTCAATCTTGGGCAATCGATGCAATAGGAAACCGGTTGATATATGTGATGTTCCTGACACAGAAGGCTATAGAGAAGAGCATAAACAGAATAAATAGAGAAAATAAATTAATTTAAACAAAAATTAAAAACATATACAAATTCAATTTTGAGGATTAACTTGTCCAGTAAGGATGTAGAATTTTCAACCACTTTCAATGATCAACCGAGACAACAAAGCCCTAATTTGTAAAATCAAATAAAATTTTCATTAAATAGAGAAAAAGAAAAAAAATTAAAACCCTAGGTTTGAATGTTGAAAAGGAGAGAGATAAGTACCCCAAATCACAAGATGATAGAGAGGGATAGCGACGAGAGGCGTGGATAACAGGGGAGGCACGGCGAACGGACGAAGTCAAGGTGGCCGGCGTCGGACGAAGGAGTCGACGAGAGGAAACATGAAGTCGAGGTGGCCGGCGGACGGGGGAGTCAACGAGAGGAGAGGCAAGACGGACTGGGGAGTCGACGAGAGGAGAGGAGCGGCGGACAGCAGACGCGTTCGATTGTAGGGAGATGAGAAAACCCTAGAACTCAGAGATGAAGAATAAAGGTTTAACCAAGAGCTATCGGGTGAAGAGAATCCCCTTTGTTAAAAAAGTTTGGGCGTGAGCCCTTAATAAAACCGTCCCTTTAGCCAACTAAAGTTTTTTTTTTCAAGCCTAATTCAAACCCAACACTTTATTTTGAAGCGTTACCTTAGACTCTTTCGTGACGATTGGAACCGTCACATAACTGTTCCCTTAGGAGGCAAAGGAGACGGTTTTGAACCGTCCCCAAATAACCGTCCCCATATACCTATTTTGTGGTAGTGTATGAACAGTTGGTCGGATAGGGATTTGATTGTTAAATTAAAATTATTAATTTTATTAATAATTGATTCTCAATATGGGGCCTAACTGGTCTCACTAATATCATTAGAAGAGGTCTACATGCAATACAATTCCATTTCTATCCTAATTGTTATATTAAGGATATTCTAGCTTTAAATGTTATGTATAGAGTTTTAAACAATTAAGAATTATTTTGAAATTAAAATTTATAAGGCAAATCCAATCAGGGTTCATATGTAGTATTATAAAAAAAAGAGAAATAGAAAATTGAGAACCTATCTTACAGTATTGCTCCTCTTTGGTGACTGATAGATTTCAGTTAGAGGCTTTTTCTCTTAAGAAATTTATTTTATTTGATCTTAGGATAGATTATCGAAGAAATTCGGAAAACGTTTCAGGTATTCTTTTATATTTTAATTAATTTTGATTAATCTATATGATATGCAATTTTCGGTGTGTTGCATGCTTCAGCAGTTTCAGAGTTCAAAAAGACGGAGGAAAGAAAATGCTCTACAAAACACCGTGAGAGACATATCTGAGTGCCACTTTTAAGAAGGTGGCCCAGTTATGTGGTAATTAGCCGGTTATGGGGTAGAGTTTTAAGTTATGGGCTGGGCTTGACACGGGACAACGAAATAAAATACGATCGGCCCTTCTTTGCTAGTTAATGGTACCGCTTCTTCTTCTCTGCTCTTTAAATGCTGCTGAGACCCGCTCAATTTTGTCATTTATTTAACGAACTTGCAGCTTCAAATGTGGGAAGGTAATTACCACGCCACACGGTGCTAATGTACGCTTCTTCGAGGGATCGAAAATACCTGAGCAAACATTGTTAATCAGATATATGGTACATACATTGTTACATTGTATATTTATTTTCTTTAGGGAAATCCTTATGTCTGACTACAAGGCTATCCGCTTGCAGAACGGTCCATGCTGCACTAACGATGTATGGATATAGTATTGAAAAGGAAGAAGAATGACTCGGGGAGTCAATGACTCGGGGAGTATGTTGGTCATAAATGAAAAAGGATACATCAAATAAGTAAGACTTATCTTATCTCTCTTTACATAAGAACATACTGTGAAAATAAAAGTCATAGAAAAAAGGAATATTGCCTTCTCCTCCTTCCTCTCTCTCAATTCTGTATTTTAGGAGCTAGTAGCAGGTGATTCATGGAAACTTTTCGCCATCTTAGTGTAATTTCTTCTCGACTATTGTTCGTAGATTGAGATGCGTGGCAATCTTTCCAAATATCCGATACAGGTAATCTCTAAATAAGATATGTATATATATTTAATATTTGTATGAATGCTTAGTTATAGAGATCCTTTAGGATGCGGCAACTGTAATTTTAATCAATTATGTTTAAGAAATTGAAAAAAGTACGAGAAAAAGGGAACAAAATGGGATATCGTTGTTAATTGTCATCTATTCACAGTTTCGAGCCTCATCATTTAGCTATTTAACAAGTTTAATGGAAAATTGATTTAAGATCTGAGATTGTGAGGATTCGATCGTAGCTTAAGTATCAAGGAAAATTTTATGGCACGAGGACAACAAGGTTCATCATGATACAAATAGGAAGTTATACTAATATATAAAAAACCTAGTTGTGGGTACTACAAAATTTAAATGAGTTGTGAACATATTCTCATTTTCTACTATACTAGGAAGGGCAAAAAGATAATTTAACAAGAGGCATCTTTCTCTCTCTTTCTCTTTTTTTCTCCTTTCTCTCTTTTTTTTTTTATTTTCTTACAATATTCTATATATCATACAAACATTTTGTATTTCTTTGCTTTCTCTTTTTTCGGTTTTGTAGAATGTTCTATATCATACTCCATGAAGCCCATATAGTCACATATCCATTATATTTTAGATTCTAAAGTGAATATAAATAAAATTATAGGTTCCTTCTAGCAAAAAGTATAATATGTATAGGAAAAAAAAACTAAAGAATATAAAAGTATAAAAGATATATATTTTTGGAAATTGTAAGTCTTGACATGTGCATTAGGAACGTGCATGTTATTCCCCAACAAAGAAAATAAAGTATATACAAAGTATATTAATAGATGCTAGAAACATTATCTTTCTCTGTAGTGAAAAAAAATTCTTTGCTTAGACTTAAGATATCATCACATTATAATTATAATCAAATCTCTAATGCATTTTACAATATTAGAGTTTATTAAAAATGTTTTGCGCCTAATACAAGAAGAGAGCTATAAAGCCAACCGAAGGTTTATTGAAACTTTATATTGAACCCTATCATTTATCGGGTACCGGGCTAACATAACATGCATAAAATTCAGGCCTAATACGAAAGTTTTGATTGAAGTTTTTAAATCGAACCACATAAATTTTCAATTATTGGGCTAACTTAAAATGAAAGCCGAAATAGCAAATTAAAGGTAATAAAAAATTCTTAATATATTTAAATACATGGCCCATGCAGGTCTCGAACCTGCGACCTTCGCGTTATTAGGGTGGTTGATTAAGGATCCCAAAATATTGACGTTAGTCTCTCCCCCCAAAACGATAGGACTAATTGTGAAAAACAAGTAATTTCCCTTTTGTTAATTATTACCAGATTTGAATCTTGAAAAAATTAGACCGACGAACTTCCGGTAGAAAAAAGCAGGGTCCTGCTTAGGGTGAATTCGGTCCCGATATAGCTCGGATATGATGCTTATCATATCCATATACGCTATTCATCTTGGATATAGATACGAATATGCATCGGTAAGAAAAATTCATATCCATATCCGCTAAAATCATATACATGAAGATATATAAGCGGGTATGCATGCAGATACAAAATGAATATGAGAAAACTAGATAGTATTGAGAAAAATATAGTTTATGTAATACAAAAACGTTCGTTAATATATTCATTATAATTGAAAAGCTAAGATTAGACATCTTGATCATCAAAATTAACCACAAATCCATAATCTAAGAATTAAAACTATCGTAAGAGTATGACTAATATGCATTCGATATTTCAGATACGGATCCGGATATTTCATTACAAAACCATATCCGTGACCATATTCTATCGGTTATAGATTCGAGTAACTCTGTCTGTATCCTAACGGATACAATTTCAGATATTTCCTAGGATACGGATACGGTTTAGCACCCCTAATATTGCTTCGAAAGGCTAAAGGACAAGCATTTTAAGGTGTCTATAGGGAGGAGTGAAATTCCTATCAGAACATTCTAGATTGAGGGGGCAATGAAATACCGACACCATCCCTCTATTCTATTCTGTGCATGTGTGGCTCAGAATGCCCCATACCGTGTGGGATGTTCTGATATGATGCACACTGTATAACTCTATAGGGAGTACGTATGCATATATAACACAACATCTCTAATCTACTTTATGCGCGCTCTCTCTCTAATCTACTTTATTTTATTTGATCTTGGTCCACTCTCACTTTCCCATTCCATTATGTACCTCCCATTGTCCCTCTTCCCCTTGCTCTCTTTCAAAGAACACTGAGGATTAAACTTCAGCTAGCAACTCAAGGAAGAAAGAGGAAGAAGGAAATCAAGGCCATGAACTCTCTCGAAGGTCCTCTCTCTCTTCCACACACAATTTATTTTCTGATATGCAATACGTATTACTCCAAGAACGTCCTAATTTTCTTGATTTTTCCATTAGAAAAGGCTACTCTCCGATGTAACTGAAGTACCATAAACTTAAGTCTTTCCATGAATCATTTCGCATGTAGCAAATAACAAAATTTTTTATCTTCACAAATTAATTATAAGCACCCCACTTGCTCATAGAGCATATATTAATTGAGTGCATGCATGTCTATATGCGGATTCCTTTATTTGAACTCCACTTTTCCTAGTCCATATATATATCCTAAAATGTCTTGTAATTTTGTTTATTGAAACTGCAGCTTAATTAGCTTGAACCGAAATTGATTGTGAGAGATCAACCGTGAAGGAGGAAAAAAAAGAAATGGAGAAAGGGAAACTTATTATACAATCATTAATCTTAATGTTACTTCCAACATATTTGTACCTCTGTTCAAGAGCCCATGCAATGAGCATGAATGAAAATGATGCAGAAAATGTTGTCACAAGGACATATTATCATGACTTCTCTGTGAGTACTATTTTCTGTGAGCTATGTTATAAATTTTAATGTTTTGGTTAATAAATTGATTAATTGGGCTAAATTTTTTGTAGGTGAAATCAACTGCTTGTACTAGGCTCTGTGAGACAAAAAACATACTCACAGTGAACGAGCAATTTCCAGGGCCTACCCTTCGTGCTCATAGATTGGATACACTTGTTGTCAACGTTCATAACCAAGCTGACCATAATATCAGTATACATTGGTAATTAATATGATCTCCCCCTCTCTAGATTATTATAACACTCAGTTTTTTATTTTTATTTTTATTATGTCATGCTTGTTAGAGAATTATAACCATCTAACGCTCACCACAATTTCCAAGTCTTGATGCATAGTGAAACGTGGAACTAAATCTCATCTTATGTCTTTGTTAAGGGGCTGTTTGGTTGTTTTCCTAAAAAAATCAGAAATGCAAAACTCACATTTCAACTCATTTCAATAGATTTTCAAGACATTTCCCGCAAATCAGAAATAGTAGCAGTGTTTCGATTTCCATTTCAATGTATTTCATGTTCAAACAAACACAAGAAATGGAAATCGATGGGAACTCCTTTCAAACAAACACCATGAATGAAAAAAAAAACTCCTTTCATTCATTTTATTTCTTTTATTTTTTCATGTAAACGTTATAACTAACCATTACTTGTTTAGGCATGGAGTAAGGCAGCTAAGAAATCCATGGGCGGACGGTGCATCCCAAATAACGCAATGCCCCATCCAGCCTGGTCGAAACTATACATACAACATCACCTTCACAAGTGAAGAAGGAACTCTATGGTGGCATGCGCATAGTCATCTCTTGAGAGCAACGGTTCATGGAGCCGTCGTCGTGCTTCCAAGACGAGGGACTAGTTACCCTTTCCCTGGACCTCATCTAGAGGTGCCCATCATACTAGGTACTCCCAAATTATTCATCTGCTCCATGAAGCATTATCGATATTACCAAGTGTTCTTCCAAGTTTTTTCCGTTCAATTCCGTAGGATTCTACGATCATGTAGAGGTTCAGAAGTATGTATGCTTCCATTTTGACCGTACGTGCTAATCTTATTATATGAATCAGACCATTCCCAATTCTTCATCATCTAGATGAATGATATATTGATGCTGGTCCGAGGTCCGAGCACTCATTTACACATTGACTGCTGTTTTATGTTTAATACACCTGACGCTGAATTATTTTAAAGAATCGGGCCAATTTCAAGATATTATGAAACTATCTATACATAGATTATTTTTGAATCGTTAGTCTTTAGCACATATCCAATATTGTTCTTTTTTTAAAAAATAATAAATTTAATTAATTTTCCGTAGGAGAGTGGTGGAAGATGGATGTGGTTGATGTTTACAAACAAGCAGCAGAAAAGGGGGAAGCTCCAATGCACTCCGATGCCTACACCATCAACGGCCAACCTGGTGAACTCTACCCTTGTTCCATACCAGGTAATTTATATATACCAGGAAAATTCCGACAAAAAAAAAAAAATCTATGTATAACACCCCACCCCCTCTCAAATTAACGCAATCTTTATCCAATATCTCTCAGCAGACACATTCAAGATAACCGTCGAGCAAGGCAGGACTTATTTGCTCAGAGTAATAAGCGCCGCGATGGAGCAACAGCTATTCTTCGCCGTCGCTGGCCATCGGCTAACACTCGTCTTTTTTTCCGTTCAATTCCGTAGGATTCTACGATCATGTAGAGGTTCAGAAGTATGTATGCTTCCATTTTGACCGTACGTGCTAATCTTATTATATGAATCAGACCATTCCCAATTCTTCATCATCTAGATGAATGATATATTGATGCTGGTCCGAGGTCCGAGCACTCATTTACACATTGACTGCTGTTTTATGTTTAATACACCTGACGCTGAATTATTTTAAAGAATCGGGCCAATTTCAAGATATTATGAAACTATCTATACATAGATTATTTTTGAATCGTTAGTCTTTAGCACATATCCAATATTGTTCTTTTTTTAAAAAATAATAAATTTAATTAATTTTCCGTAGGAGAGTGGTGGAAGATGGATGTGGTTGATGTTTACAAACAAGCAGCAGAAAAGGGGGAAGCTCCAATGCACTCCGATGCCTACACCATCAACGGCCAACCTGGTGAACTCTACCCTTGTTCCATACCAGGTAATTTATATATACCAGGAAAATTCCGACAAAAAAAAAAAAAATCTATGTATAACACCCCACCCCCTCTCAAATTAACGCAATCTTTATCCAATATCTCTCAGCAGACACATTCAAGATAACCGTCGAGCAAGGCAGGACTTATTTGCTCAGAGTAATAAGCGCCGCGATGGAGCAACAGCTATTCTTCGCCGTCGCTTGGCCATCGGCTAACACTCGTCTCAGCCGACGGCAGCTACACTAAACCCCTTGTTACCGACTACATCATGATCTCTCCCGGACAAACTATGGATATACTGGTGCACGCTGGTCAGTCCCCCATGCGTTATGCTATGAGCGCGGGCCCATTCGGCAGCGCAATGGGCTCAATGCGCCATCACATGGGCCTGGATATGGGCTCTATGGGCCCTATGCCCACCTCCAACGTAACCACGGCAATATTCCAGTATATCCATAATCCATCATCACCCTCATCTATGTCGACGATGTTTCCTACTCTCCCTCTCTCTAACGACTCACGTTCAGCCAACAATTTCACGAGACGGATCAAAAGTCTCGAGATTGACGGTTACGAGCGTGACATTTTCACAAACGTCGTCGACGTGCACATGTTCATCACACTGTCTATGGGTACGATGCATTCGGGTAGCATGAACAACATAAGTTTTGTTGATCCCAAAGTCGACATACTAAAGGCGTATTATGAACGTATCTCTAATGTTTATGAAGAGGATTTTCCAAATGAGCCGCCAAGAAAGTTCAATTACACCGGAGTAGGTTCGACGGATGAGGATTATTGGCCACCAGAGTTTGGGACGAAGGTGAAGGTGTTGGACTACGATAAGAATGTGGAGGTCGTGTTCCAATCGACGAGTATTATGTCGACGGAGAGCCATCCTATGCATCTCCATGGCCATGGCTTCTATGTTGTCGGGTTTGGATATGGGAATTTTGATCCGAACATGGATCCGCGAAAGTATAACCTTGTGGATCCGCCAAGACAGTCGACGGTTGCTGTGCCTTCGGGCGGGTGGGCTACAATTAGATTCAAATCGAATAACCCGGGTATATACTTTGAATAGTCAAATTATATCTAATTCTTTTGTTGCTGTATATATATTTTTTTCCTAATTTTAGTTATTAAAATGTGTTTTCCAACATTTCTTGGTAGGTGTTTGGTTGCTACATTGTCATTTTGAGCATCATCACTATAAGGGGATGAGCATGGTGTTCGTAGTTAAAGACGGGCCGAATGTTTTCTCTAGACTTGATCCTCCACCTCAGCGCCTGCCTGCTTGTTGATATTTCGCGTTGGGATGAAGGAGAAACAGTTTCAAGGTCTAGCGCATTTTAATTTTAACTTTGATGTATCAATATATAAATTCCTTTTTCTCAAAAAAGAAAAAAAAAAGTTTTCAACTTGTAATTACATTGCAATATACTTGCTCGGTACTGTAGTGTTCTCTTTCATAGTATTATATATTGCAATTACACCGGATCAGATTGAGACTCTTCTTGTTTGCACGTAAAAATTGGGAATTTGATTCCATTTTCATGCAAGTCTACTACATCTAATAAAAATAAATTGACATAACATTCTTCTCTCGATCGGAACTTGATATTTCCACATCCATATTTTTATCTGTTTTATTCCCAACTCGATTATTTTTCCTTGAAAAAGTCATGCATTAATCATATTATTTATGCCCTCTTTCTTGTTGTACAAATCATAAAAAATCTCACTTGCGATAAGAGCGAAGTTGTTGAGTTTTATGTCCTGTTCCGAACAACTCATCACTGCGACGTGCCACTGGCACGTCTCTCGCCACGGTGCCACGTGCCCCAGATACTCGCACGTACACCACCGCGTGTCAGGCTGCAGCTCTCTCTCTCTCTCTCTCGTTCGCTCTATAAAAAGCCCAATGGGCCACATGCAATATTCCAAAATCGGATAAAAAAAACAATGGGGAAAAAGGAGAGACGAGGAGCGTCGACCTCTCTGATCCCATGGGCCGGGTCTTGGACAGACTGGACCGACCCGTTCTTGTCAGATGACCCGTGGGACCCATTCTGGGGAGGTGGCGCCAACCTGTTGTGGGGCACAGCCGGTAGGAGAAGGCGCGGTAACGGCGACGGCACCGCTGCTCTGGCGGACGCCCGCGTTGATTGGCGCGAGACGAACACCGCCCACATCTTCGTTGCTGAGCTCCCAGGCGGGCGCTTTACACTCACCACTTCTTACTTCTCTTTGGTTTTCGCTTGGGTTTTTTCGAAACCCGTCTTAAAAATGGATTTGGATTCTCTCCGCTATAAAAAAGTAACTGTATCGGTCACGTCGAAAGCATCTTTTAATTTTAATTTATATATAAACTATTTCTAACGTGGTTGAATCTAGTTAAAATTTGGCTAAAAAATTTAAAAAAAAACAAGTTCAAAAAATTTAGAGTTTAAGATACAAAATTTCTTTCTTAACAAGACCCAAACATTGATAAAACAGTCGCATATGCTTTAAATGGGCTAAACATTAATGAACTGAGTCACACGCCCTGGAAGTTAGTTTTTTAGGGTAATTGTCACCTTGCTTTAAAAAGTGAATTTTTTAGGAGTAATTTTTAATTTTTAGGGGAAAAAAATTTGATTGGGAGGTGGTTGATTGCTAAAAGATTCATTTTAAAAATAATTTAAAAATAATTTATATGTAAATTGAAATTAAAAGGTTGCTTTTGTATAACTATCTTATTTTAAACGTGCTTTCTAGTAAAAAGGCACTTTTTTTAAATATATGTACGCTTTGGTGCAATTATCTTATTTTTAAAAGTGGTTTCTAGTAAATTAAAAGACACTTTTTTGTTTCTTTTAATATACGTAGGCTTTATAGTTTAAAAAAATCATTGTTTTAATTTTAGCGATTCTTGTTTTATCTCTAAATTTGTAACCATATTCTACCTTTACCTATGACCCTAAATAAAAATAAAAACTAAAACCTTTTTTAAATGAAAACAAGGAACACTTTTAACAGTTGATTGACTTATATATTTTGTTAGATTAAAAAGTAGTCTTACTATTGTTGGCATATTATCAATACTTGATTTGAAATGTTATAAATTGAACATAACATAAGGGAAAAAAAATTAATATTGTAATATCAGAATTCTTTTTATTAATTAACTACGATCTAGTTATTTTGGCAAATAAATCATTTTCAAGAAGTAAAATTAATATTAATTAGCTATAGTTGATGATTAAATATCTATGACTTGGTGAAAATATATGGAGAAATTTAAAAAAAAAAATCCTTTTTAAATAACATGATAAATAATCCTTTTGGCGGGAGTATAAAATATTAACCCATGCATGTTCTATTTGTTTTCGTTGGGGTACGTAGGGGTGAGAAAAGAGGAGGTGAAGGTGCAAGTGGAGGACGGGAACGTGCTGAGCATAAGTGGGGAGAAGGCCAAGGAGGAGGAGGACGCCGGAGACACCTGGCACCGCATCGAGAGGAGGACGGGGAGCTTCCATAGGAAGTTCAGGCTGCCGGAAAATGCGAGGATGGAGGAGACCAGGTGCAGCATGGACAACGGCGTGCTTACAGTCACCATCCCTAAGCTTGCTGAGGAGGAAAAGCCTCCTAATGTTAGGTCTATAGAGGTGGCTTAGTTACGTAGCTGACTCGTGGATGCTGTGTAAATGTGTGGGTACGTATAAGGATGTACGTATGTACGTATACGGTAGTGGGAGGTACGTGTGTGTATGTGTATGTATGTATATAAGTTTGATGTGGATGTATGTATGTATGTAAGTTTGATGTGGTGTATGTATGTAAGTTTGATGTGGATGTATGTATGTATGTAAGTTTGATGTGGATGTGCGTATGTACATATATGGTAGTGGGAGGTATATGTATTGTATATGTAAGTTTTATGTCGCTTTCCTTACACACATATACTAGCTAGCTAAAAGTTACTGTTTATAGCTAACGTGAGATGATCATCATCTGGATGTTTATGTGATTAAGTATACAAGCATTAGGTGATAAGTACAGTGATTAACAATCCGATTAGTTATTTAAAAAAATTGTAAATAACCGGTTCTATTTAAACACGCTCCTCGTTATAACCATGTGAAAATCTTAGGGTTGCACAGAACATATTGCTTGAAGTGCACGCCCTTAACTTTACATCATTATTAGGAATAAGTACTTTTTTAAATTTAGTTCCTTTAACCATTCGAAAATCCATCCTTAATTTTACATCATCATTTAATGTTAATTTTTAAAAAATCTGTATTTAATTCGTAATCGGTGGGATTTGAATATGAGTCGTTTTGATATCATCTTAAATTTAGTTTCTCTAACTATACAAAAACTCCTCCGAATGAGGATCAATGATTATAGTTTTATATTAATTCTAACCTACTTAAAATGATGATCATTAATTAGCCGTATATATAACCATTTCGGATGCATGCCTACTACTCGCACGGGCGTCGACAAAACCACTTCGGATGCGCACACAACCCGGTGATCTCTACCTGGGCTCTAAGGGAGGTATAATTAATGTTGGCTAACATTAATTTATTTCTAGAGATTCATATTCACGTGCAATAATCTCTCTCTTCAACCTATCTACTTACTAATAAAGCCAAAGAAAATAAAAAAACTATTCAAAGCTCAATAAGATGTGAAGCAATTTAACCCCTTACTATTCATGACACTAGTCCACGTGAAACTATTTATTACGGTAAAATTATCTTTTCTCCAACAACATAGCCAACTGTTTTTATCCATTAATACCAATTAATCTTTTTTAAAATGAGCTTATTTTTATGCTCAATTAATAATTCCAAAATGTCATATTTCGTGCAGATACATTTAAATTGAAAATATGTATTATACCGCAAGACTTACCTCCTCCGCATAATAAATGCCGCCTTGGGAATTTAACGCCTAAATCCTCTAATGCAACGGAAACGCGGTATAGAGAATAGTACACCAAGATTTACGAGGTTCGGCAACTGCCTACGTCCTCGGGAGCCACACAGTAAATTTCTTATTAATCCAACAAGAAATTACAATTTTAGGAGCAGATCCCTAAACTGGGATTTCTCAAATAAACACTGTAGCTACAGTGTTAATAATAACAGGGTATGAACCCTTTCAATACCCACTTGAGAATAAATACCCCACAATCAAACTCCTCTTTAATTCTCTCTCTCTCTCTCTCTCTCTTAATCTCTCTTTTAATCTCCCCTCAAAACACCCCTTTGAGAGCTGGAGAAAAATCAAAATCGCTACTGCGATTTGGGGAAAACGCTGCTGCATTTTAGGGCAGTTCGCCGCCGCCGCCAGAGAGAAAGAATCGGAGGGGAGGGGGAAGAATCAGCATCTTCGAAACCCTAGGTGAGGGGGTTTATATAAGCGGAGATGAGGAGCTGGCGACAGCCTGTCGCCAGCAAATAACCCAGACGCAAAGGTCGGGTTCGCCAAAGAACGCAGAGTTCAGGGGGCAGGCGAACGCAGAGCTCGCCATCGACGCAGAGCTCGCCATCGACGCAGAGCTCGCCATCGACGCAGAGCTCGCCATCGACGCAGAGCTCGCCATCGACGCAGAGCTCGCCATCGACGCCAGCTTCGAACGAACGCAGAGCTCGAGGCTTCGAGCTCGTCCTGTCGCCTGGACCTCGCCGCCTGGACCTCGCCGTCGCCATCCTGGAGCTCGTCGGAGCTCCTCCACCGCCGGAGGTTGGTATCCACCCCCAACCTATCAATCTCCCACTTGGAGACCAAACCGACGACAACAGGGCTATCTCATCAAGCTCCTCTCCTGTGTGACTCCGCCTTCATCATCTATGCATGAAGGCCAACTGAAGTTGCACACAACTTCAGTTTCTGAAAGGTCGCTACCTTTGTCAACATATCCGCTGGATCCTTTCTTCCTTGGATATTCTGTTGAAATCCTTTGACAACTCGTCGGGCTCTGTATCTTCTGGAACCACCCTGTTCCTTCTTCACTCGATACACCCACTTGTTGTGACGTACCTTCTTCCCCATGGGCAACTCAGCTAGTCCCCATGCCTGGTTGGAGATCAGAGATTTTTTCTCTTCTTTCGTAGCAAACTCCCACTTGCTCGCATCTCCACTCTGACAAGCTTCATCAAAGCTTTCAGACTCTCCTTCATTTGTCAGCAACAGATAGTTCATGTATCTGCTGTTAGACACAGGAGGATGAGTAATTCTCCTTAATATCGAAGCTGGTGCGTCGGACTTCTGCGCACCATTCTGTCCAACAGGCTCTTCTGCCTGAGTACCTTTTGCATTAGGTTCTCCCGAGAGGTTATATGGGACATCATCTGCATCTACAAATGTTGACTCGCTCTCTGAGTCACCGTCATCTGTCTTGTGCAAGTCCTTGTACATCACCTTCTCGTTGAATGTCACATCTCTGCACCTGATCACCTTCTTGTTTTCGTTGTCCCAAATGCGGTAGCCGAACTCGTCTTCACCATACCCGATGAATGTGCATTTCTTGGACTTGGGATCAGGCTCATTCCTGCCTTGATCACTTATATGCACATAAGCTACACAACCGAAAACTTTGAGATGTGAGAGGGTTACCTCCTTTCCGCACCATACCTCTTCTGGTATTCTGTGCTCCAATGGAACCGATGGACCTCGGTTGATCAAGTAAGCTGCTGTGTTGACTGCTTCTGCCCAGAACTGCTTCGGTAGACCTGACTGCATCCGAATGCTTCTGGCTCTCTCTGTCAACGTTCTATTCATGCGCTCAGCCACACCATTGTGCTGAGGCGTGCCGGGCACGGTCCTCTCCATTCTGATACCGTGCTCATAGCAGAACTTCTTGAATCTGGTGTCTTCATACTCACCACCATTGTCTGTTCTGAGTTTCTTTACCCTCAAACCGGTCTCATTCTCGACCATGGCTTTCCATCTTCTGAAAGCCTCAAACACTTCTGACTTTTTCTTCAGAAAGTAGACCCATACTTTCCGAGAGTGATCATCAATAAAAGTCACGAAGTAGTGTTTCCCACCAATCGACGCGGTGGTTGTTGGTCCCCAAACATCCGAGTGAACAAGCTCTAGCTTCTGCTTCCTGGGGGGTCTGCTACTTGCCTGAAAGCTAACTCTCTTCTGCTTTCCAAGTATGCATTCTTCACACACATCAATCTCTACTGATTGTAAACCTGGGAGTTTTCTCTTTGTGTGCATAACCTTCATCCCCTTTTCACTCATATGACCGAGTCTCTGGTGCCACAGCTTTGAAGTCTCATTGCCTGCTGCAACTGAGATCGAACAACGTGCACCTGCTGTCATATACAGGGTACCAGTCTTCCTACCTCTGGCAATCGTCATTGCGCCCTTCGAAATCCTCCAGTCATCTCCATGGAAAGTCATCGTGTAGCCTTCACTAGCCAGCTGGCTTACTGAGATTAAGTTCCTCTTCAGGTCGGGAATATACCTGACATCCTTCAGCTCCCATACTGACCCATTCAGCTTAATCTTCACTACACCTTTGCCAATAATGGCACATGCTTGATCGTCACCAAGATATACATTTCCAAGGTTTCCGGGGATATACTTCTCGAGGAATTCTTTCTGAGAAGTAGCATGGAATGATGCTCCCGAGTCCAACACCCAAGACTCCTCCTTGCTCTCCAAAGAGCATATCAGCGCATCATCTCCTCCTGAGGTGGAGGCAACGTTCACATCTGCATTTGCCTCCCACTCCTCCCGTGCACTCCTGCACTGATTCTTGTAGTGCCCGGTTTTCCCGCACTTCCAACACTCGATAGCCTTCGAACTGTTGGGATTTCTGGATTTGGATCTCCTATCATCTGATCCATTTCCTCTGGTTGAACTTTTACCTCTTGACTCTGTATGCAATACTGAAGAGGTTGTAGCTTCACCCGACTCTCTCCGTCGGATCTCCTCACTGAGAACCAGATCACGAACGTCGTCAAACTTCAACTTATTGCTTCCCGATGAGCTACTCACAGCTGTGACCGTAGCGTTCCAACTCTCTGGTAGGGAAGACAAAAGGATCAACGCTCGAACTTCCTCATCAAACTCAATATCAACTGAACTCAATTGGGTCGTGACTGTATTGAGTTCATTGAGATGATGTGCTACCGATGCACCTTCCGCCATTCGCAGATTAAACAACCGCCTCATCAAATGGACTTTATTTGAGGCTGATGGCTTCTCATACATATTGGAGAGTGCTGCCATAAGATCTGCCGTGGTCTTCTCCTTTGCAATGTTAAAAGCAACATTGCGGGTTAACGTCAAACGAATAACCCCGAGGGCTTTTCTGTCCAGAAGATTCCAATCTTCTTCCTTCATACCCTCCGGCTTCTTCCCCGAGAGAGGTTGATACAGATTTTTCTGATACAGATAATCCTCTATCTGCATTTTCCAGAATCCGAAATCTGATCCATCAAACTTCTCTATTCTCACCTTTCCCTCATCTGCGGCCATGGCTCCCACTTGAATCTGACTTCCTCTAGATCGTTTCACGCTCTGATACCAGTTGTTGGGAATTTAAACGCCTAAACCCCTAATGCAACAGAAACGCAGTATAGAGAAAGTACACAAGCATTACGAGTCGGTCACTCCATACTCTCGGGAGCCAACAAGTAAA